CACACACACACACACACACACACACTCACACACGCAATGTTTTAAATCAACACTTTCATGAAAGCAATTTTTCCAGAGATATTTTGCTTGTTTGGACTTTTCCAATGATTGGACAATTCTCCCCCGCTGACAAATGTCCCAAATGTGTGTGGCGATAAACACACACAACATTCAACGCTTCTCTCCTCAACGTTCCTCAATTTTGTTACTCTCCAGTTTTACGTCTCTAGCAGGGCACAGTGGGTTTTTACAGAAGTTGAACCCACAAAATGCACTTGATTCATGTCTTGCTGGGGCGAGAATTGAACCCAGGACATAGCGACTGTGTGCCCACTTATGTAACCTCAAGACAAGGAAATATATACTTACAATCATTGCCCGGCCATACCGTGAGCCCCCTTTATTATAATAATAACAATAATAACAATAACAACAATAATAATAATAATAATGATAATAATAATAATATCAATAGTAATAATAGTAATTACATTTGTTTAAACTAGAAAAATTACAAAGCCCCACAGATTTGGAAAGAGATACACTTCGTATACACGAAAGAAGAGAACAAAAAAATATACTGATTGAGGAAATTAAAATAATTGTAAACAATACTTCATTGAGTACAGGTCAAAGCCCAACAGGCCCCACGAGAGGAAGCAGAAAACGTACATTCCTGTACGTCAATCAAAGACACGTACATAAACTGAGAGCACCGGATGAATAAAATGGAAAAAAGTCTATCTACGTAAGATTATCAGATACAACGATATGAAAATATGATGAAAGGCTAGAAGAAAATATGAGACTAATATTGCAATAGTACATGTCAGAAAAACCCTGATATATCAGAGAATGGGTTGCCACAACCTGTTAGATGTCGTTGGTTAGGAGAAAGTACATCATGTGTAGATTTATAAAATGATTTAATGACATGCCAGTTGGCTAAGGAGGCACGTGTGATTTGGGAGGTTGGGGTGGGGTGGGGCAAAGAAAATGGCACAATATGTTGCGTGTCTATGTACCAAAGGCCTCCAACTTCCGTGGCACACAGAAACACAACACCACCCCCTCCCCACAACACGAACAGACAGTCAAACAGACCCACAGACACACAGGCAAACAGACGTACTCAAACAAACAAACAAGCAAACACACATACTACACAGGGACCTCGAGAAATAATGTCCCACAACTCACAAACATCTCCCCTGACTGACCAAAGGACACAAGCCACAGAGCTGAGACAACACCTCCCCTGACTAACCAAAGGACACAAGCCACAGAGCTGAGACAACACCTCCCCTGACTAACCAAAGGACACAAGCCACAGAGCTGGGACAACACCTCCCCTGACTGACCAAAGGACACAAGCCACAGAGCTGGGACAACACCTCCCCTGACTGACCAAAGGACACAAGCCACAGAGCTGGGACAACACCTCCCCTGACTG